TTCATTACATTCTTATCAATAAATGATCGTCATCATAGATTCATAGATATCTTTCTGAAGTTTTATCTATATATCTCTCATATTGCTTATATGAATATTGTTACATAATAAGATCATGTTATATTTATATATCGACCTGATTCCTGCGTGTAGGTATCTATCAGAAAATCCTGATGGGTAAAATAGTCTTCCCGCGTTCCTTCGACAAACACGCCAAGTCTCTGGTCAAAAAACTCCTCACTGCTGATTTGGGTAGGACAAGACTAGCTTATGTTGATTCATGAGTTATTTCGCAGCGAAACGGTATGGGACACTTAGAGGTGGCGTGGATGATATCAAGAAGTGCAGGTGGTTCTCAAGTGAGTCCTCTCGCGGGAGTTGCTCCTTCTGTGTGGCACTCGTGGTTCCGAGGCCTACCACATCTGGCCAGGGAATGAAGTCTCCTTTCGCTGTGAGCCAACTAGACAGCCTAACACAGAGATCATTGTTAATCGGCTTAGGAGTGTAGCTGAGTCTACAATCTCTCAGTCATAACCACAACTCAGTTGCAACAACTGGTGCGCAGCTCGAATCGACATTTTCCTTCGTGTGTGAATCGATATTAGATATTGATTCTGGAGTCTGGATGGTCGTGCTTGTCCATAGGTGTCTCGTGGGAGGCCCTATACAGGAAGGAGATCGAGGCGCCTTACAAGCCGATCGTGAAGTCGGACACGGACACCTCTAATTTCGAGGACTATCCCGATTCGGCAGAACTTGCTCCCATTGTTCCTCCGGACGAAGACCCATTCGTGTTGTGGTGATGACTATTACGAGGTGGACGTTTTGCCTTTCTCATTATTATCACACTATATTACTTTCTTTCTCTACAGCGGGTAACCTTATTTGGTGCCCGAGCTCGAATGAATGGCAGTGATAGTGACAAATAGTTTTTCAACGACTATTTTTTCCCCTCCTCGTCTGCTGTTGTTTCCCTCTAATTGATTGGCGTGGTTGGTTGCAGCACCCTGTTGGGCCTAATTATCTTCACCCCAGAAGACTCAGGTTGTGTTCGAAGTCGGATTCGCTACATAACACTGTTGTGAGAACTTGGGAAGACAAGTGAACTTGAGTCGGGCATGAAATAATTAGTCGAGTCGGGCAACTCTACTGGACTTCGTCAAAAGGTGCTTATTGACGATGAAGGTCTTCCATGGAACTTCCCTTAGCTTACTAGTCCTCATCTTATTGTGCTTATCACGATGATAACTTGTGCACGTTTGATCCCGAACACACGTATTTATGCGAGAGATACTCCTCTAGGAGGACAAAAAGTCCTCGCCCCCCTGGTTACACTGAACTTAGAACAACACACGACACTGTACGCTGAGCGATCGATTTACGATTCTGTAGCACCTTGAGTAGGTCGATTCCCATACAGAAATGAGACATGATTGATTAGGTTGTCGATTGATCGTGTGTAGACCTAGATGGTGAGGCACGCTGAGGGGAGGTGTTAGATACATCATTCATTGAGATGCTGCTAATGCAAACCCGATCACCGTTCTACGACTGGTAAGCGGCTAGCGAACTGCGTTCACTAGCTGTTTGTGCTACCTTTGCTTGTGCCGCTGTATCCAGAAAGTCGTTAGAGAGGATTCCTTTATGTTTTACTGATGGTTA